GCAGTCGACAACGTTCTAGTTCTTCATCTTATCGACATAAGCTGCAGTCTAAATACAAACCTTTCAGTGTACAACAATTTGAAATAAAACTTAAGTCACCATTTCTATTACTTTGTTCGGTGGAAAAGTTTCAACATGTTCTCAGAGAAACACTTACTTTTTCTATTTATTTGCAGCAACATCGTGCGCAGCAGATGACGCAGCTACACAAGCAGCTGCATCAAGTGATGCAGCAGCCACTGAAGCAAATACTGCTCGAGCTGGAGGCTCCGATTCGGGAACGAATGCTCTGGTTCCGCTCTCAAATGGTTCTGTTTTCTGTTTTCTTTCTGTTTTTTTTTTCTCGTTTGATATAACTAGTGGTGCGCACATGGTTACTCTAAATAAATTTAGAAGACGAGTGTGTTGATAAGAACCCGGAGTGCCCGAAGAGTGCTCGGTACTGTAACGATGCATTCTTTTATGAATTTATGAAGGAGAATTGCAAGAAAACTTGCGGGGAATGTGAGTTACGGAGTCTTTCAAACTTTATTTATGCTGCTTTTAACGCGAAGTTGCAATTACCGCTTGTTGCTTTTCTCCCGTTGTAACTTTTAGGTAAACAAATTTAGGTGAATGTGACGATGTTCTACCATCACAGGTTTGTGAAGATAACTACGATTACTGCTATGATCCGGTTTACCTGAACTTGATGAGACAACAATGCCGCAAGACCTGTTTATTTTGCCCAGGTAAAATTCACGGCTTTATTACAGGGGACGTTACATTATCCTGAGCTTGTTTTGATTTTTCAGAATTCTGCTATGACACGATTGAAAATTGTGCGAGCAGTCTGATTTATTGCTATGACCCTTTATATCGAAACATTATGGGGTTCCGTTGCCCTATTAGCTGCAAATTCTGCGGAGGTAACAAATTACTGCAATTTTTAATTCATCTTAATTCAAATCAAAATTTTTTTAGGTACTTGCAAAGACGAGTTGGCAAATTGTGCACAAAACAAACACCTTTGTTCCAATTCTACACATAAAAACTTTATGAGCGTCAGATGCTCGAAAACATGTGGAGTTTGCTAATTAAAGTGAATAGTGAAATAAAATATTTCTAACTTCTGTTTTTCTCACAATTTTATGTTAAGTGTAATCTGAAGCGAACAAAATACAGACTGCTCTGTTAGAGACTCTTCAGACTCTGTCGTTAGCTCGTTTGTTTCAAGCGCACCAGTCGATGTGATGCACTAATCTAGAGATTCAACTGTCATTTATGCCTAACAGTTTAAAATTTTGCAGTACCT